TCTATTTTAGCAGAAAAAAAATCTTTAAAAAATACTAGAACCCAAATGGTCATAATGTCTTTCACTATATTTAAATTTATCTTCTTTATACCTCTAGCCTCAATGATTTGCATGTTCCAGTTACTGACTAAACCACAAATATCTGTTGTGTATTCAAAACAAGGGCAGAATCTATATTAATTACTTATGAAATCAAAACAAGTACAACTTGTATTAATCCTTTTCAAATTTGTTTGGAATTGTTCTATTACTTTTGGAAATAAAAAAATACAAAATCCAATGTTCTTGATATTAGCATTGAAGTCCACCTGGTTAAGCCTACACACAGCATTCACATTTATCTCAGTTCTCTCCTTTTCCAAAAGAAGAATCTGAACAATGATTTATACTTCTCACCTCATAAATGGTGGGAAATTCTTACTTCTTGTTGCCATTTTATCTTTGTATTTATAATATCCTGATGCTCTGTAATGCTCATCTCATTTTAGGGATTAGTTTGTGAATTGTACAGGACCAGGACCAAGTTGGTTGTTTGTGTCATGGTGAACTCTGCAAGACACCAAAGTACAGGTAAGGAATGAAGTAACTGAGACCCAGACCTCTGTGCATACATATGAAATATCATCTCTTAAATACTTGTATAACATAGCAGTTAGAGGCTGCAGTATAAGCCTGTAGACAGAAACTCCTGCTTGTAACCTTTGCTACCTACATGGATAAGACAGAGAGAAAAGCCGTGAGATGGAGTGAGACTGTAATGGTGGGTACAACACATACCATGTGAAATATCAAGAAACTGAGAGACAGACCTTGGGCTTGGGTTGGGAAAGGCATCTGTTCATGCTTTAACAGAGCATTTATCCCAGAACCACAGAGAGCAGCGTGTGGCACACAGAAGATGCAGCTATTGAGGTACAGAACACTAAACCAGCGTCCTTATGGATACAGCACAGTGTGATACCTCATCCAGCAATGTGCTGCTGTACTCCTGTGCTTTGAGCTCAATTAATAGGAATTTGAGTGAGTGAGTGAGGAACCTCTGTATTTTGTAATTGTGGAAGATGAAAGAGCTGCTTCAGGACTGGGAATGCTGTACCTTATACACATCTTTATGCTAAAATAATCAGTAGTAGTAATTAGGGTTTCAGTCACCATTGGCAACATTTGTTCTTTTGAAGGGGATTTATAGGGACTTGTTTTGCTTCACTTTAGATTTAACATCTGGACATTTTGTAGCTCCTTTGAGAATGAAAGGAAATAAGATCAACAGTCTTGTACAAAACCAAGCAAATGCAATTAAGTGTCTAATACCTATTGGCTTAGAATTATTCCAGAGTTTAAAATCAAGCTGCTGTTGTACAGTGCAATCAGAGAAGAGACTTGTTTGCCTGCAGTTTTTTGGGGTGGAGCTCAAAGCTTTCTGACACAAGTTCCCTTGGCACAGGACTTTGATGTCCATATTTGACTCCAACTGGGACACACAGTCAACTTTCCTCATTATCATTTTTAAACTACATTTGAATGGCAATTAATAAAATTACAAGAAGTTTTATTGGCTTGTTTGGGTTTTTGTTTTTCCTTCTGACAAGATATAAATGGGAGTACCTGCAGAATTGCTGAGCCATTCAGTGTTCTCTTTTCCCAGAACACTTTACCCCCATTATCAATTTTCTTATTATTTTCATTCCTCTCCTTGCAATCAGTTTTTGGTGAATGTCCTTGAAGCCAAGTTGGCAGAGCTTGTTTTGGAGCCTTATCCTGCACAGAGGTTGCCTTTGTTCATAAGGTGTAAAGCACTGTCCAAAGAGAGAGAGTGTGAGGGATGTTTGAGCGAGTAGCTGGGTTTTGGTTGGGCTGTTTGTTCTTGGCAGCTGCAGAGGTCTCACCCTGTTTAACTTCAGCTACAGCTTGTACCTCAACCAAGACTGCAGAAAGGGCAAAATTTGTCTGACTGCTCCTTTTTGGATGGTGCTTGAATCCTTCACAGAAATAAAGCAGCTAAAGAAATTTTTTTTTAGAGGATTCAACCTGTTCCTAAAATGATTTTCCTTAAATTATTACCATCCAGATTGTTCTTACAGACCTTTTATAATGTTTGGGGTTTGTTTTAATCAGGCACTGCTTCATGGAAAAAAAAAGAGATTTTATTCCCGAGCATTTTAACTAAAATAATTAGCTGCACACACTGAAGTCACTGTAAACTGGACTGCATTACAGCTGGGCTACAGAAAATCAACAGAGCTGGTCATGTCTCTGGTGAGAGGTAAATGATTTCTGTATAAGTCTGAGGTCTACAGAGTAACTGGGTTAATGCTGAGTCTGTGACTAAATGACAACCTCCACTTTGTAATTTCAGTCTTTTTAGATTCTTTATTATGACATTTCTTGTTCTCTTGAGATGGATGAAAGTAAATAATCGAGTTTGTGAGTAATGAGCTTGCCAAACCCAAGGCACTGAGAAGTTCTAAAAGCTCCTGCAGTTGTTAATGCCTGTGGGTTCCTTGCCAGCCTAGTCAAAACAGTTTACCATAAAGTTTGGAACCCCTTGTGTTGTAATTTTCTTCCATGATACCAATTGGCTCATCATAACCTGGTATTAGTAATTCACATTAAATCTGGGATGTTGCTGCACATGACCATTATTCCTGGGATAATGTATTATTAATAATTAGCTGTAAAACACCACAATGACAAGACATGAAGTCAGCTGGATGTGCTGTTTCTAAAACTCATTCATTCTTCTGCCTTGCTGAGCCTCTCATTGAAAATGAGTGTGTAAGAGCTCGGTATTCCTGTGAGGTGCAGCCTCCCCAGAGTGCTCTTAGATGCTGTGATGGAAGGAGTAAAGCTACTGCCCATGTTCACTTTAAATTCCTTTAGGAAGAAAGGAAAATACACTCGTGCTTGGAATATCAGGAATAAAATAGGACTAAATATCACTTTCTGTACACAAACTGTAGCCTCCACATCCAGCCTGTGCTCCATACCTTTGGTTCTTAGCCTTGTTCTTGAACATGAAATCTGTAAGATTCTCCTCAGAAAGCTTTTCCTGCCACCTCCACAGGTGCTGGGGCTATACAGCAGCACTGGCACTGCACTGACTTCCAAAATCAAACAACCATCACCACCATCTTTACTGTTGTATTTGCAAATGCTACCCGTTAAAGCTCCTCATGCTCCTCATGGAGGACAAAAATATTGCCAGAGGGCAACAAAAATAATTGTCTTCAGAAGGAAGCACAACCACTGGAAAAGTTTTTTTCAGGCAAAACCCAAAGCAATTGTTTTATGGCTTTATTTCCCTTCCCAACAGCTGATATTCAATAAACATGCACTGAAAAATAAACACCAAAGAGCACCAAAGAGAAAGGAGAGGTTTTCCTCAAGACATGCAGTGGATTCTGGAACTAAATGAATAAATTTTTTATAAATAAAATTAATTCATTGATGAAATATAACAAACAAAATAACAAGATGGCAGAATAATTTCTGCAGGAATACGTGTGTAAAACATCCATGCATTGTGATGCAAAATGGTAGCAGCTTGAAAATTCAAATGTGTATCGGCATTTGGGTTTCTCACTATATTGTAATTCGATCAACATGTGCAATGTGATGACAACTTTGTAAAAAACATGTGTAATTTGTATTACTTATTGTGAGGCCACACCTCAAGTGCTACTTTCAGTGCTGGACCTGTTACTTCTACAAGGACGTGAAGGCGCTGGAGCCAAGGGCAGCAGGGCTCCTGCAAGGCCTGGGGAACCTCCTGCAAGGACTGGGGAACCGGGAGAGACCAAAACTGGGGAACTGGGAAGGACTGGGAGTCTGATGGGCAGCGGCTGAGGGAGCTGGGGGCTCCAGGAGGCTCAGGGGGGAGCTCATCACCCTTGACGGGAGCGTGCAGTGAGCTGGGGCCGGTCCCGTCTGCCGGCTCTGCACGGAGAGGAGCAGAGGAAACGGCCTCAAACGGCGACAGCAGAGATGCAGATTAGAAAAAAGGAATCCAGTGGTCAGGTGGTCAGGTGTTGGAATAGGCTGCACAAGGAGGAGATGGAGTCACCGTCCCTGGAGGTGTTTAAGGGGTGTCTGGATCTGGCGCTAAGTGATGTGGTTTAGGATCACAGAACCGTCAAGGCTGGAAGAGACTTTCAAGATCATCAAATCCAGCCATCCATTCAGCGCTGGCACTGAAACCCCAAAACCACTAAACCACATCAGCCAGCAGTGCCAGTGCACCTCCTGAACCAACTGTGTGTCTGAGAGGCGCCTGGATCTGGTGCTGAGTGATGTGGTTTAGGGGTTGTGGTGGCAGTGGTGGATGGGCGGCTGGACTTGATGATCTCGAAGGTCTTCTGCCAACCTTGATCGTTCCGTTCCGTTCCGTTCCGCCGGGCCCAGCGCGCCGTGAGGGCGGTCGGGGCTGGAGGGAAGGGGGGGGGGGGCCGCACCGTGAGAGAGCGCGCGCGGCGCCGCTCCCCCCTCCCCTCGGGGCGCGCGCGGTGCCGCAGCGCCGCCCGCCCCCCGCCGCCCGTTCTGCGCACGCGCGCGGCACTGCGGCTGCGCGGCCGCAGCAGCGCGAATCCCGCGCGCACGCCCCCCCACAACGGCTGCGGGTGAGCGCTGCGCATGCGCACCGCTCCCCGTGTGTCCGCGCCTCCCGCCAGCCACGCTCGCTCGCGCCGGGACCTCACGGGGGAAGTGGCGGCGGCGGGCGTGCATGCGCAGAGCCGCCGTTCCCCACACAGCCCCATCTTCCGTTTCCCGGCCGCGCGGAGAAGCGCCGCGGGGGCAGCGGGAAAGGCGCGCGCGTCGTCGCGCGTGCGCAGAGGAGGCCGCGAGCGGCGGCCGCCGGGCTCCCGCCAATCGGGCACCGCCCCGCAGCGCCGCCGCGGCCCAGGCGCGCCGTGCGTGCGTGCCTGCGTGCGTGCGTCCGCTCGTGCGTGCGTGCGTGCGTGCGCTCGGCGGCGGCGGCGCGTCCCGAGCCCCGAATGAACGCGCCGGTCCCGGCGGGCGAGCGGCCCTGAGCGACCCGCGAGCGGGGACGGGCCGTGCCGAGCGGCTCCTCCGCCCGCACCCCGCCCGCCGCACGGGTGAGTGACCGACCACCGACCCGCCGAGCGCCTGCTGCCCGCCCCGCCGTCGCCGCGCCGCGCTCCAGGGGCAGGCGCGGCGCCCCCGGCCCGCCCGCAGCCCCCGGCCCGGGGCCCGCCCGCCCGCAGCCGCCGCCACTCCCGGGGCTTCAGCCGGCCCCTGCAGCCCCGCGAGGGTCGCGGCACCCCGCAGTATCCCCTCAGGGTGCCCCGGGTGCCGGTACCGCCCCTCTGCCCCCTCCCCGGGCCGGCGGTGCCGTTCGCTCCGCCCGCCCCGGCCCGCGCCCTCCTTGCAGCGAGGATCCGCCCCCCCTTGTCTCCCGGTCTCGTTTCCCCCAAAATTCCACGGAATCGGGAGGGGGTCGCCCTTGCTGCGTCCCCCCGCGCTCCCCCTGGAGCCCCGCGGCCGGGGAGGGGTCGGGCCCGGCGGTGCCGGCCGGGCCCCGCGGGGGAGCTCGGGCGGATCCTGCCCGGGAGATGCCGCCCGGCCCCGGCCATCCCCCGGGGAGGCGGCGGCGGAGGTGCCGCTATCGGCCCATCTCCCGCTCCCCGGGGGAGGATGGAAACTTTCCTGGAGATCCTTCAGCGCTGGCTGCCAGATCTCCCTGACCGCGGGCTCTCTCTGTGTCAGGTGTAGTCACCTGCTCTGCTCTCATTGTTTAGGCGTTCGAGGGTTTGCCCTTCTCCCCTCGTATCTGCCCCCTCTTCGGGTTTTTTTAAGAAAGTTGCATGGAGAAATTCCCATCCTACTTTTTATAGTGACTGTAGGATGCTGTGTGAATGTAACTCTTGGATAAAAATTTCTATGGGACCTGTGATTTGGGTTCTCAGCCACAGAACCCTACAGGATACTTCCCCTCTCCTCTTATTCACTCCCCCTTCTCCAAAATAAATCTCCCAACAATGGATGTCCGACCCGGGAAACTGCAAAGCACTTGTAAGCTTGTGACTCTGGTATCTCCGGTGAGCATCTTGGAAAAATCAGCACAAATATTTTCTGTAGCTCTTCCTGAGAGACCAAACCACTTCAGCATCTGCAGTGGCATTTTCTGAAGCTTGTTTACTTCTCACAGGTTCTCCCTAGGTGCCTGAAATTTTCTTCACAAATGTAAATCGTAATTTTTTGAAATTTAGTTTGGGAATCGTACAGGTCACACAGCAAAACAAACTTTACACGTGCAGCATGTAGATGACTGTCCTTTGTAGGAAATACAGGTGAGGTTTTAACTCCTATAATCAGGCTCCTGAAACATGTTTGGGCTATAAACAGAAATTAGAGTCCAGGTTACTTTCCATTCTTTGATGCTGAACAATGTCTCATGCACTGAGGGCATCCCGTGCCTGAGAGTTCTTGAACTTGCTCTTTTATATCAGGAAAGCTGTTGCCTAGAGCTCAGCAGAGCAGCACAGAAACTACAGGAGGGTGTAAAACCTGCTGCTTTAAAGATAAAATAAAGATGCTGGGAGGGAAAGCACCACAGTTAATACTTTGGTGCACATAAGAAATGTGAATGCAAATGAACCCAAATTTTTTGGTGGAGAATGGTTGAGTGAATTTCTGCTTGTGTGATTCTGGGGTACATGTAACTTCTCATTTCTTAGATCAAGCCCATGGAAAATTGATCTTTATGGAATAATCTTTGTGTCTGTAGTATGTGTGTTCCATTTTGGTGGAGACAGTGAAAATCTCCCAGCTAGTGATTCCACAGTACATCACTCCTTGTGTTCCAGTCTGTGAGACTCTGACAAAGCTGACAAACAAAATTCTATCAACAGGAGATGTAATCACTGTTTTTTGTAGTTCTTACTCATTTGTTAGCCTTTAAACATGGAAAATCAAAATGCTGAGCTGTTTTTAAGTTGCATTTTTTCTCATTCCAATGAAACGTAGCTTGATACTTGGCAAACTAGATAAGTTGTTCTGGGTGATTTAACTTGAGAGGAGAAAACAGAATTTTGAGTACTTGGATTCAGAATTGTGGGGCTGTAGCTGCATTACTTGGTTCATCTTTCTCAGAAAATGTGTTTTGTTTCTGTTTTTAATGGACAGGATAAGTGAATTTTGACACAGAGAAGTGATCTGAGAGTAGTGTCTTCTCACGTTTATGAGAAAGCAAATGTAATTTATGGAGATGTCCATGGATGTTTCTCATGCTAAACTTTTTTCCAGCACTCTTGAAAAAATGTATAAATAGGGTAAATGCCCAGTGAAACAAACAAAACAAAAAAACCCCACAACTAATGTGGGCTTGGAAAGAAAACTTTTAGATACCGTTGTAAAATGCTTCCAGAATAATTTAATCTGATGGTGAAAAGAATGTGAATTTCCTTTTTGGCCCGTTTGAGTTTTGAATAATTTTTCAAGTGTTAAATTATTCGTAATTGTGAAGTTTCCAAAACATATGTTTGCTTTTTTTTTTAAACATCAACATTTGTGTATTGAGTAAAGATAGACATTATTTCTAACTTCACTGTGAGCCTTAAAAAATCTAATTTTGCAGAAGTACTTGAGGAAGTCAGGCTGTGTCAGGTTCGGGTGCTGCTGCAGTGATGTGCCTGTGGTGCACTGGGAGGTGCAAAGCAGCGAGCTCTGAGAAGCTTCTTTATAATCTTGTGTCTTGGAAAGTTGTTTTTCCTATGAATTAAATATGATGAGAGCCACCAAAAATTTTTTTATGTGTGCTGTATATTACTTTCATTTTCTAAAATACAAACTTGCTGCTTGAATTGAAGAGTAGTATTATTAGTAATTCTTGTTGCTGAGAGTCAGCAGGACCTGTGCACGTGTACAAGGAAATTCCTGATCTTCCTTTTAATAACTGGTATCGTTGGTGTCAATATTTTAATAATGTAATCTGAAGATAAAATTAAACAGGTAGACTCTAGTGATTATATGTATATATAGCACACTGTTTAGACAAAACCAGAACTTTTGCATTTTACATTACTTTGTTAGTATATTTCTAAGCATCCCTGTGTGATTTATATTGGTCTATTGAATGTGAGATAGAAACAAGTAATCTTTGTGATATTACTTCCTGCTTGTCTTTTGTAGGTCTTTTTCTGCTCCCAAATATTATTTGAATTTTTTAAATTCCCCAGATTTTTCTTTTTTAACATACATACATACATATCTATCTGTCTGTCTCTTCGGGAACCATTCTTTCTGCTCAGAAGGGATTACAGAATAGTCTTGTTTTATTTTTTCTTCAGAAGAATACTGTATAATAATTCTTTTGTGTTTTAACACTTAAGTACTCCCTATTGCCACCGCAGAAGGGTGTGACTGGTTTATCCAGATTGGCACATTTTTTGTGCAAATCAGCAAGATCTGAAATCTTTGCATTCTTGTTCTGAGTGTGCGGCAGCGGCTCGCAGTTAGAGCAGAAAGCAAATGGAGCTGTTGGGAGGGCACAGCCTGGGGGACAGGACAGGCACCTCTAGAGCAGGAGTTCTGCAGTAAACGGTGCAGGGCCAGCGGTTCCGAGGTCTGTGAAGATCTCTTGAAGCAGGAGGGTCTGACAGCAGGAGCTGATGGAAACTTGAGGACGTTCCTTTGAGAGGAGTGAGTGATCCCAGCATTATGAGCTTCTGACAGCACCGGCTCTGCCCATGCAAATTGCAGAGAGCAGCCGTGGATTTTCATGCAGATCTGGGCCATTGTAGCCCAGTCCAGATGTTTTGCAACTCTGCTCTCTTTTTTATGGCTGGATTTTACACTTTTTTCCAACACAAATATCAGACCCTATGGTGGCTTTTCGATGGCTTTTCTTACTTAGCCGAGTCAAATGAAGAGAAAGGCTGAGGAGGATTTTATTGCAGTCGTGGCAAATTCTGATAGTGAGGCTCAAATCTCCAAAGTTAAAAGCTCTAAGAAAGTCTATTTGAAGAAGATGATGTTTTTTATTTCTTGGTAGATGTAGAAGCAAATGAACTTCTTAACAAACTTCTTAATACTGGGCCAAGAAATTGATGCACTCATTGAGTATTCTCACTTTTGCACGAGCTGTGTCTGCCTGAGTTGAGCGCTGTGACCTCAGTGTTACATTTTAAAACGTGTTGCTGGTAGCCCCTGAAAAGTTTGTGATTCATACTGAGTTTAAGTTACTTTTCTGAGCTGAGAACAGCAGCTCTCATGCACTTACTGATACCTGGTGTGGTAGTGCCAAACGAGCTGTTGGTCATGGGGAGGTTTCCAGTGCAGCACCTCACAGAGGTGTCTAAAGTTTTGTTCCTAAAGCTGTTTGAGTAGCCACAAGATACCTTGATACCAAAAGTGGTAACATTTTATCGTCTCATCTCTACTCTTTACTCATCTGCCCTGAGACTTTGTGAGCCTTTACAGCCAAAACTGTGCAGGAGGCTGCGCTGGACTCTTGTTTTTCTTTGCTTCTGTTTTTGAAGAAGTTCAGTAGCATGAATTTCATTGCATGTACATTTATATATTTTTTTTCTACAAATTCCTTTCCTGTAATAAATAACTATAAAAATGAGTTGCAGTAACTTTCTTTCCCCCGATGATTCTCTTGTTGTATTTCCTACTTATTTATTTTTAGTTTTCTGCTTTTGTATTATCATCCCAAGTTTTATTTTAATTCTCAAACTTACTTGCGTAAAGAAACTACTTTTTCTTGCTGAAAAAAATTCATTAAAATTTGGCCAAATACTGCCTCTGCCAGTCATTTGTTTCTTTGGCTATATTGAAGTAGCATAAAGAAAAGGGACAAATCACTTCCAAGCATCCAATACTGTATTTATGAAGCTACGTTAATTTGCCTTTTGTTGATGTTTACGTACTGATTGCAGTTCTTTTTCTCTGTAGCATTGAGAGGATTGCAGTGGCATTCTAAGGTCATTTAAAATCATGACAAGCTCAGTCGGACAGAAGAAAGTCTCCTCCAGACAAAGGAAGTGTGGGTTCTGTCGGTCGAATAAAGATAACGAATGTGGGCAGTTGCTGATGTCGGAGAACCAGAAGGTGGCGGCACATCACAAGTGTATGGTGAGTGACCGGGAATAACGGGATGGAGCCGGGAAAACGCTGCAAACACCTGGAAAAAACACCCAGATTGGAATTGGCACACGTGATTAACCACTGCAGTTTGGTGGGTTTCATATCTATGAATTTCTCTATCACTTATGCCCTTAAAAATTAAAATACAGGTTTTGTCTTTGCAATTTTAGCTGTTCTCATCCGCACTGGTTTCTTCACACACTGATAATGAGAGTCTTGGTGGATTCTCCATTGAAGATATTCAGAAAGAAATAAAGAGAGGCACAAAACTGGTAAGTCCCTATTTTGGCTCTTGAAAATGAAAGACAGTTTTTTCATACCCTCCATAAAGTTTGCAAGGAAGTTGTTCGGTGTATTTAATCTATTTAATATTTTCTGTTAGATTTCTGAAAGAAATCCACATTTTAGGCTCCTGGGAAGGGTGTTATTGTGCCTTTACCAGTACATGAATTTACTGGCAAAATCTAGTTTTAACTACCAAATACACCTTTTGCTCCTTTTATATTGATTTAAAAAATAATGCTGTGAATGTAGAGGGTTTATGAGGTATGTGGGTACAGCTGTCATTGCAGCTCTAAAAAATTAAAGAGGTTGCACAGCAGTGACTTTTTTTAAATTCCTGGAATTAAAAATTCAAAAATTCATAAGGAATTTTAAAATTATTATTTATTTAGAACTAATATTTTTCCAATTTGGGGAAATGAGTGAGGCTCTTCTCAAAATAATTTTACCAGACAATCAGTTCACTCCTCACATTAAAACCTTTCAGCTTGGTTGTTTAAAGCACTCTATGTATTTACCAGTTCTTGGACCACTAAAGGAAGTCCAAAGTACTGTAGAGCTACAATTTTATAATAATAGTCTACTATTTCATCCACTGTTTCATTTGAATCTTTTCCCATCTAGGGAACTTCATTTGCTCTAATTAACTGAAATAACTGTTCACAGGTCTTTCATGTTGTGATCAGGACTTTCCAAAGATCATAGTAGTAAATGAAACTAATGATCATAAAGAGACTTCTTGATTCTTGTGTGTCTTAAAGGGTTTTAAAGGTTTTTTCTTTTTATGTCTTTGGTGGTTTCTCTTTCTGCTTCTGAATCTCTTTATGTTTCTTCTATTGCAATGGCTTCATTCTTGGAGCTCACCAGCTGTGTGTACCAGGCACTTGGTTCAGGTTTTTGTAGAAAACCTGGATCTGGTCAGTCTAATGGATTCATAGTCCTGAGTTGGTTCCTCTTTGGAGAAAACATACAAGATAATTTTAGATCTTAACTTAGGTGCCTGTCTCTGTGGTTGGCAGAGAGCTGCAGCTCTGAATCACTTTCTGGAGGAATTTGTCTTTCTGCACTGGCATGTGGGAAGTTTAAAGGTAAAGGTTTATCATTAGCACAAATCCCTTCTCTCAGGTCTGCTTGCCTGGTCCATTCTGGGGGAGCACATTCAGCAAAAACCCCCAGAGCACTGGGTTAGGTGAATTTCTTGATGGCTTGGGCTCAGTTTGTGCTCCCCCAGGAGGTGCTGCTGGCCAGGAGGGCTCTGACAGTGGGGACCTCATTACCAGAGGGACAGTGACAGAATGTAGAGACTTTCTGATGATAATTGATCTGTCTGAGAAAAGCTGCTAGGTTCAAACCTTGGTAGGCCAGGCACAAAAGCTTATGAAGTCTAAATATTTGGAAGAACAAGTCACTGATATCTTAATTATTTAAATTATCTGTGTTATTTCTAGTATCTGTGAATAGAAAGGTTTATGCTTTTTTTTGAAGAACATACCTATTTTGCAGCTTCTTATATACTAACATAACTTGAGTTAGTGACCATTTGGACAGCAGGCATGCACCAATGGAATAAGCATTTTATTACATACTAAAAACGTGGATAAAATGTGTGTGCCCTGTTTTACAGACACATCATGGTGTTAATAAAAACAAAGTTTTCTTTCAGTCATTTCTGGCTTTCAAAAAAACTGAGGTTCTGACTAAACTTGATTGGCTGGATATATAAGCCTAGGCTTTTCTAAAGGACTTTGATCAGCAATTATTATATATAAAACCATAATGGATAACAGATTTATGAGATAAAATGCCCATAAAAATTAGATAACAACTAGGCAACAGTATATAACTGTACCATTTCAGAGCTTGCAGAGGAGTAAATGGAGATGATCCAAGGCTTTGACATTTTTACTGTTCAGTTGACTTCGTTAAAATTGAAAAACAGGCTGGTGGTATATTTGGTAACTTTGGTGGTATATTTTTTTGGCATATTTGAGAGTGCAGGGAGAACTTGACTAAATGAGTGCAGGGGAGAAAAAAATGTATCCACAGAGATAGAGAGAGATATAGATATAGATGTATATGTAAGGAATATTCTACATTGCATACTTAGATTTGGAATTGATTGTAACCTTTTGGGGGTGTTAGCAATATGCAGGATACAAAGAACAAGCTCCAGTTGTCTTGGGAGGGGAGTTTAATGGGAAATCCTGAGATTCTGGGGAATATTGAGTCAGTAGAGAACAACAAAGACAAAAATTTTGTGATACTGTCAATTACTTCCTTTCCTACCACAGTATAAGAAGGACCATGAGCAATTTAGAAGGCTAATTTAGATAGCTGCTGTAATCTATGTATCTGATACAGGAAGAATTAGTTAATGGGAAAGAAGAGTAAAGCAACAGCCTCACTTTTAATCTTTTTTGCAATATAAGTACAAAGAGCAAAATTTAGTTTAGTTGAAATAAATTAATTATGCTTACCAAATATTTCACTAAATTCAGTGTTTTGGAAAGGACTTTAGGACATAACTGTAGAAAAAAAAGTAAAGTTAGCTGCTGATGCTGAGGTAAATTTGCAGGTTATCAGTATTTCTGACTGCAGGATTCATTCTCAAATAGGTGTCATTTTTCCCCTCTTGCCTTTATAATATAATTCAGAATTAAACATGTATAATTATGATTTTAACTTTTCTGAAATGGTCGGTACAAACTGTCCTTGTGAGAGGGATATTCAGGTGAACAGTTGTGTCACTTTCATCAGATACATTCCACAAAAATAAATTACTTATTTTCTTCATTGAGCTGATGATGGTGGTTGAGTTGATAATGCATCTGATGGTTATTGCACTGGTGCACACTTGTAACAAATTTCTTAATTTTAAAATAAATTATGCAAAACACCTGAGATCAGGAAGAGTAATACCAAGCGCATAAATCCATTTTTTTTTTTGTCACTAGGAGTGGTAAATATATTCTTTTTGAGCTCAGCACAATTCATGTTACTTTTGGTTTAGTATTTCTTTCTTTTCCTTTCCAGATGTGCTCTTTGTGCCACTGTCCCGGAGCGACCATTGGCTGTGATGTGAAAACGTGTCACAAGACATATCACTACTACTGTGCTTTGCATGATAAAGCTCAGATAAGAGAGAAACCTTCACAAGGCATTTACATGTAACTATTGTTTATTTGTTATGTTTATTTTTTAATTTGTATTTTACATTCTTTGTTTAAAAAAACAAACAACAAAGCAAAACAAAACCCCACTTTGGAATCTAAACAAAACTGTTGCAAAAAATTCTGATTATGATTGTGGCATTCAAAATAGTGATGTGCTAGAAAAACATATTTTCGCTGCAAGATTTGTGTATCAGTGAGTCTTATAAGTGGGAGAAAAATGTACTGGCATTTAAATTTAAAAGATGAGTAAATAATCTGTGATTCGTGACTGACTTGACAGTTTTCAACTACTTTGTTTATAGGATTTTATGTCGAAAACACAAGAAAACTACGCATAACTCTGAAGGTAAAATTATTCAATATAAATTTTTCCCATTGTAGAAAGATACTTGGTTAAATTTAATTTTTCTGGAGAATATAAATGTTTTCAGTAAAAATTAGAACTACATATTTTCGAAAAACAATGAGTTTGGAAGTCCATCTGATTTCTGTATTTTCTCTAAAACTTATTGATTGAGGTGGGAAAAAACCCCAACCATAAATTTTAGGATGTTCAAAAGATATGATGCTCCATAAAACCAAAGTTTGGGTAGAAGTTATACTTCCCCTTCTTGGAAGAAGCTGGCTTATATTTGTAGTTAAGTATTCACAATATTAACATCTGAAATATTTTGTCAGGTAACAGCTGATTTTTGCTAATGTTCCTAAATATTCATTATTTTTTTTACTAGTTAATAAAGTTTAACTCTTGAAAAAAGAAATACCCAATAGTAAATGAAAAGGATTGTGATGAGTTCACTTACAGATAAGTTTCTGAATCATATTATTTTAAAAAAAAATTTTATGGATCCATCCACTAAAGCTTTGCAGAAAAGAATAGTGAAATGCCACAAATGTAGATATATTGTGTGGTCTGTTGAAATTCCAAACTACTTGTGCTGTTGTGTTTTTATGAAGTATTTTTCTTTTTTTCTGCTGTATCTGAATTTGGGTAAGCAGAGAGTTGGTAGTTAACTTCTTGCATTGTTTTCAACTGAAATGTCCTCAGATTTAACTAATGAGGAGTATGCAACTGTTTAGTGAAAATCAAACTTCATAAATTCCTTCAGTCTCTATGCCAAATGTATTTTTAAGATAATGTATTGCTTTTTATGCTACAGGTAGTAGACTTATTAATGGCAAAGGTTTGGATGTTATTTCAATGTTCAGAAAGATTCTGAAGGCAGCAGAAAATACCAAAGAAAATTGATTTCTTTTTTTTACTCTATTTACATCATTATTGTTGTGTGCCTATATATAAAACTCTAACTTTACTCTTACTGGGTTTAAACAATAAAAACAATATCTATATTATAATTAGTTCCCCAAAGAGAAGAGGCCACGTTATCTTGTGTTTGTTTGGGGTTGCTTTGTGTGTTAGCAGGCACAGAATGTTAAAGACATTTTGAGTCAGAGAGATTAATCTTTTTAACTGATATTTTAAAATAATCTTTTATACTTGCTCACAAATGTCTCAGTGTTTGACATGTGTTTAAAAATGCCTCCAATTTTGCATGGAGCTCAAAACCAATTAATTACTTTTTCTGCTTGGGATTCCTTGCAGGATCTGAACTTGTGCTTTTCTTTAAGAGTTTTCAGGAACCATTATTTCCAATTTTACAGTGTCATTTTCTAGCACCAAAAACTTTTAAATTTTATATAGATATGTTGGGAAAAATTTGTGAGTTTTTTTAACTAAATGTTGATGATAGTAGTTTATTAAAATACTAATCTGGACTCATAGCAAGAGTCTCTTACATTGTGTATTTCTTCTTTCCTACCCTCAATGTCACTCAGAACAGCTGAGGCCAAACAACCTGATGATATTACATTATTTTGCACTTTGCACGCATTTTTTTTGTTTGAAATATTTACTTCTGTCATGCTTCACACTTCTAGAAATAGCTTTGCACTTCTAGAACTATATGTAGCTAAACTTCACATTCCTGTTTTCAGTTCTTTATTTAATACTTCACTGAAATTCCACCCAGTGCTCTTTCCCAAAGAATATGTTTTCTTTTTATTCCATACAGTTTTGGAAACTTTACCCATAAAGTAGTTTATTACTTACAGTTGTGGATTTGATAATGCCAGGAGCTGGGGCTCTTTTGTGATAGACCTCCTTTAAATCAAAGGAAGTAGAAATATATATTGCATATGCCTGATACAATGCTCTTAAGTAATTTCCATAGCAATGGTATTTTGCTACATTGAACACTGGTTAACTTCAGCAGACAGAAATTAGAGTGGTTTTCAGAGTTTCAGAGTGGACTTGGGAGGTTTTCTTCCTTAATACTTAATTGCTGAAGTTTGCTAAGTGAAATGACAACTGGAAGGTGTTGGATGGTGAGATTTAGCTTTATATTTGTATTTTGTTTGTTTCTTGATGAAAATGTGAATGTCAAGGAGGCATTTAAATGTGAAAGAATGGTGGTGTGTGAAACCAGATAAGGGACTTGGCAGAGGAGAGTGACTAGACAAGGCAGGGAAGCTAGATGTTACCACAGTGGCTTTTTTATCTTGTTTTAGTTTCATTTTCATTAATCTTTGCTTAGCAGTGTTTTCCTAACAGAACAGTTAAAGCTTATCTGTGGTTCTGTCACCCAGTGTGAGGTGCTGGAACCATCAGTCCTTTTTAATGGAAACTTAACTGCTCCTTCTCTGCGTTGCTTTTTGACTGGGGATTTTTTATTATTATTCATTTGTTGCAGGTTTTTTCCTTGGTCAGTTTAGAACATCTGTGGGTTCTTATCTTGGTTCTTTGAATCCAGATTTTATTGTTCCAGTCCAAGTATTTTTATTCTGTTACTTGTTAGTAGATGTTCAAAGAGTTTTTAGGATTGTTTGGTTTGTCCAGAACAGTTTATTTTCTGTAGGCAGCACTGCTGCATAACAGATTTTTCCTTCCCTTCCCTAGAAAATGGATGCTTCTGGGGGCATACTTGCCCAAGTCTGAGATCCAGCTCAGGCACTTCTGTTAGAAGTTCTAGCTTAAAAAGACTGTCTGTTAAACACTTAATAACAGTTAAAGAAAATCTCTTGAGGCTGCAGGGAAGTAATGTTGAAGGACCTATGTTGGGATTAAGTTATCTGCTAAGACTTAATAAAAAGGACCTCATAGATGTTTTTTATTGCTGCTATAAAATTCAGGTGGTGTGAGGATTCATCAGACTTGGTATCTACTCATCAAGACAAAATTAATGAGTGATGGGAATTAATTTCATGGCAGCAGAGTACTGTGCTCTTAAATTCATTATCTGTTTCTTCAGATTGTTGGGTTTGTCTAATTTATCTATATGGCCTGGTATTTAGGTGACATAGAATAGGAAAATTGTATTTCTCCTATATTTCCTTTGTGTAGTTCAGAGTGATTTTTCTGTGCTTTGTTTCCATTAAATGGAAAAAGGACATCTAGGTTTTTGCCTTGCTGGCTACAAATTTAGCAAAATAACTGAATTTCAGGTACCAGCTTCATTCATAATCTTAGGCAGGCTAAGTTTTCAGTACCTAATAGGTTACAGGAATTGGTGCCAGTGCTTTCAAATGATCACAGCTAACCATTAGCTGAATTACTGTTCAGTTTGATACAATTGCATTTATTCTTTTTGAAGAATGAAGTATTGTTGAACTCATATTTTGGAGCTGTTTGTTGGAATTTATTCCAATGTACTGGAAATAATTGTTGAAAAATGAAAAAACTGGCCTCTCTCAGTTCCCTGCAGGTGAGGCTGCCCTGGCTGATGTGTTGAATTTAAAACAAATTCAGCTGATGAGGAATAGTTTCATATAAACTAAGATAAGAATGTCATTTCATCTGTTACACAGTGCTAAGACAAAGACTAACAAAGAGCTGTGTGACTTCTCCTGTTAATGTTTAAAGCAGATGCTTGAGAACTGTGGGATCAGAAAATAAAATGTCTATAATTTCTGTTCTAGCTGTGCTCAAAGCCTCAGGGAATTCTGTTTCCACAGTGGAAATAAGGACATTCCCTGTCTTAGCATCCTTTTCATGCCAGTCTGAAGATCAGACATGGAATCTGTGCTTCTCACACTGCTCAGTAAGTTGAGTCAGGAATCTGAATCAGGATATTTCTCTGAGACCTACTTAGGGACACTGCAGTCTGTAGTGCACTGAGTACTTTCCCAAAGTGCTGTGAAAACCAGGCAGGAAAAACATCTGCAACTTCTTGGCATTCCAGTTAGGTAAGATCCTGATTCATCTTTGGACTCTTTGAGCAGTGTTTGTTCTCTGTTGCATTTTCTGTGGCCCAGGTTGTTTGCAGTAACAGTCAGTGTAAATGGTTCTGTAATGTTGCACTTTGGGGTCCTTTGGATTTTGATGGTGAGAAAGTCTTCCCAGGCTCTGCTGACTCAGCCTGCCTGCTTCTGTCTCCTGGAGAATGCTCTGGGTGTGGCATCAGATGTGTACCTGGTGTTCCCACAGGAGCACTTGGTCCAGGCAGGAATTAGCAGTGTCCCATTATAGACTAATGAGGGTTTGTGCAGAAACTCCAGGGTTTTCTTATGGAAAACCACAGGGCTGATGGAGAAGGAAAAATGTAGAAGTCATGTGGTGAAGGGTTTGTCCTGTCTGAGGAGCTGTCCTGTGGTGTTCTGATTCTCCCTCCCATCTAGGAAAGGTGTTACACAGAGAGGCTTGGGCTGCTCAACAAATTCATCAGACCAGGGCACATGAGCTCTGTGATTGTGCAAATAAGTCAAGTGCATCATCTCTCTTCAGTCTTTGCCAGTGTTTCTTTGCTTGAAAATGCATTTAAATTGTGTGTATTTAAATAAAATTTAAATTTTATTATTATATTTAATAATAAAATAGTAAGGACTATTTTATTGTTTTTCTATGTTAAATCTACTTAAATAAATAATCTCAAATACCTCATAACAAATAACTTCTGGACGAGAGTCATCAGTTCCTTCAAGTGTCTGAGGCTTTTGGAAAACATATTAGTGGCAGGACTTAAGGGGTAACTTAAATTTTTCCTCTCAGTTCTTACTTTAATTTAAATGTGTTTAATGTAACTTATTCTTTTTACATTGAAAAAGATAACGCAAAAAAAATATTCAGCATTTTGGTCATTAATTTCACATCATCTGCTAATAAAAACTACCATTATTTCATGATTAGTTTACCTGATTTTGTATTTGTTTGCAAGGGGGTTTATGCAAATCCCTGTTCCTTATTATTGCTTATAGATGCATGCACATTTTTAGTATTAACTATGGGGCCAGTAAGGCTCTTTTGGGGGTTTTTTTGATGTTTCTTTCCAATTTAAAACAATGATGTTGGCTCATATGGTTTATTTGGTTTCAACCATAGTTTAATGAGATTTTACTCTAGCATGCTGAAGTACTCTTCTTTTTCTGCTATATTCCATTTCTCTTCTAAAAATCTAGTAAGATTGATTTTGTTCCTTGAATTTTTAATTTTTCTTTTATCCCAAATGCACTGTAAAACTTTACCTGCATATGTGGGATTTCAGATTTATATAGCAGCATGTCTCAGCCCCTTCAACATTCTATGCTTTGGCTTCTTTTCATGTCCAGTTCTACTTGCAAATATATTTTGCCAGTAGTTTTAGCTTTTATCCTCCTCATACAAAATCAGCCTGCTTTGTTTCTGGCTCTCTTATTCTGTTGGTTAAGGTACTGTAGGATGTAAATAGAGCCATATTTATTGTACACATCCTCTTTTTACATGTTCTTTCACAACCTTTAAATCACTTAATTCTTTATTCCTTTGCTTTAACCTGGCTTTTGGAAAGGGGTTCCATGTGTCTTTCAAGCTGATGCAGTATGGATCAGTGATTTCTCAACCTCTTCTCTGCCAAGCCTTATTTTAAACAGCAAAACATCTTGATCCTTTTTCCTTCTAGTCATGATCAAAGGAGAATTTTTAGATTTCTCTCTGAAGCCGAATCTCCCTGTTAACAGTTGATGTAATAGAGCATTTTGCTGGGGTTCTTTCTCTGGTACTTTGTACTGCTCATGGATTTCTAAAATGCAAATTAGAAGCTTGTTGCTACTCATCTGAATTTACAATATCCTATTCCTAGGTGCTTTTTAAAATGTAGATTGTTTCTTCTTAATTCCTACTCTTACCCCCTCCTTTCTCAGGTCGTGTATTGGGCTCTTTTCAGATCTAGCATTTAGGGACTTCAGAGGGAAGCTCATAGAAACCTCCTTGGAACACTTTAGATAAAGTTACACTGAGAAAATTGTCCTAATTTTAAAAATCAATGCAGTAATGGGATATGGGATGGGGGGTAGTAGAAAAGGGAATTCTAGGGATTCTAGGGAATCTCAGGGGATTCAGAGGATGGGTGATACCCATGATAAAACATCACCTGGTCAGGGAGGAGTTGAACAACTTTTTGTGTTTTCCTTAGTTCAAGCTGACATGAGAAGTTGGAAACACCCAACCATCAGATGCCAGGGACACAGGGTAAGCTGGCAGTGGGCCTGAGGGGAGGGATAGGGCACCCACCAAGCTGTGAATTAAACATGAAGACCATGCAGGACAGATGTGTTTGACACTGGTTCCAGTCCCCCTGTTCTGTTCTGTGGGTTCAGGGTGCTGTAAAAACGAGAGGAGCTTTAATGTTTGAGGTATCAGGCTTGGAGGACAGATGTGGCAGAGCACATCCTCACATCTTGGTGCTGTTACTCTCTAGGTCCACATCACTTGAAGTAGGAGATGTAAATCTTCAAGGAATTGTGTTTTAGTGAAGGGGTGTCATGTAGCATCTGGGTTTTCATGTCTGACCTTCTCTGGAAGTTGTAGTTTTGAGCACAGAAGAGGGGTTCTCCTTTAAAGAAAGCTGTGCATTCTTCATGGTTTTTTATCTTACACTGAAACTATCTTTTAAAAATACAGCATTTTTACTCTTCAAATCTTAAATATGCTAATAATGATAGACTAAAAAACAGCACTTCAGAACTTATTCTCTTAGGAGATTGATGCTTCTTCTAAGAAATTTGTTTTCATAAGGTGTGCTTGGTTTTTAGCAATTATAACTCACTCTCCGATTTTTAAAGTGGGACTGTAAAGAGTTCAGGACATACTTTAATGTTATTGTAGAAAATAAGGGTGGACTAAGGTGGAAAGCATTTTGGCTGACAAAATTAACAAGGAGCTTTGGAAAAGATAAAGAATGGCAGTGAATGGACTACGTTTTGTTTCGTGAAATAGTAGGGAAGTCCACTGAATTATTTTGGAAGGAATATTTTTAACTTTTTACTGATGTCATTTAAAGGGTTATGGATTCAATAGTCACATTTTTGTAAGACTGTTTTTCTAGAATAACCATCTATGATTTCTGTAAATGTAAAAATAGAGACAAATATTCACAAATTTCTTTGAATAATCAGTGGAGAGGTCATGTGATAAACAAGATGAAAAGATAATTCTTTTTGAAAGAAGTTTTCAGATTGCAATAAAATTTGCTATATGCAGTCCAAGAGGTCAATATCTAAATTGCATAATCTTGCTTGGGGAATTTAGCAAGTGGTGACAAATGGAAAATAATGTTGGATAGGAAATACTGAGAAGAAAATGTAAACTGTATTGTTTCATTACATCATCTATGTCATCATGTATTTAGATTTTTTTCAGAGTAAAATAAATGGTGCTTTACACATGTAATTAGAAAAGATTAGTTTATATATTAAAGTATAGGGATGTTGTAGACAGACTGATGTGTCCTAGCAACTTGGGCAAATCTGTATATAGCTGAATAATCTGTAAGTTTAAACCAAAATAATTTGCAGATCAGTATAAATTTCAGTATAACTGTTGTGGTGCATTTGGATGAGTTTTCTGTCCTTCCTTAATAACTGAGCAGAAGCTGTAGCTTTCCTTGGGGATTAGTGACAGATACAATGGATGGAGCTGAGCAGGATGTCCTTGTGTGCCAGGCTGGGCCAGGGCTTCACTTGTCTTCTGCTCTCACTTGGTGGCTGTGGAATCTGTTCAGCACTTGGACTTCAAGTTTTGTGCAGTTGGGTCTCTGTTATCACAAGATAGAAATGAGATCTGAGTTCTATGTGATAATAGGTAAGAAAGAGGAGTGCTGGCAAGGAAGCATTCAGTCTCCAGCTAAGATGTCCTATCTGGACACTAAAACAACATGGCAATATCATCAAGTGAATGTTCCAGGTCTTCTCATTACCATTCCTTCTTTTTGGGGGCTCATACTGATGTTTGTGGTCAGGGTTTTGAGAATAAAAGTCCTTCAGCAGGGTCTGTGCATGTTCTTTAAACAAGTCTGAAATTTGTTTGTGGTTCAAGCAGGGGTGGGTGCTACAGATTAAAGGAGAAAAAGGAGGGTGGTTCTGTGAGTAGGAAAGTTGTTAGTGACTGAATAGAGCTGGTTATTAGATGTAATTATCAGGTACAATTTAACTAGATCTTATTGGAGGCAATCTCAATCTTGTAGAATTGATCTGTATCTTCTCTAGAACTGAGTTGTGCAAAGGCCAGTGTGCCCAAAGGCTGGGCTCAGCTCTGTGCAGCATTCACAGCTCAGCTGGCATTTGCAAAGGAACTTGCCAGGCCTCTTTGGCATGTCTGTATTAAAAAATGTGTTCTTATGTTCCTAATAGTCTGTAATACTTGATATGGGATGTTGTCAGTGGGGATGATTTCCTCTGAACTGGAGGCTGCTTTTAGCTGCAGATCTAAAAATATTCTGTAATGACATAAAATTGTAGATTTGTTTCACTGAAGGCAAAATCCTTTTCAGTTTTAAAGCTTGATGTTATAACCCAATGGATGGATTTTTTTCTTAAGTCAACAGGCATCAATTAATAAAGCAAGGAGAGAGGTATTATTGGGTACACTGGCATACTATCAAGGGCAATTTACATTGGAGTTATGCATCTTAAAATAATAAATTATCAGCATATTTCATGTGTGAAAACACTTTCCAGTTTCAGTGTAGATTAAATGAATGTTTTTTTCAGTGAAAGTGAAGATGTGTGTCTGAGGACACATTTTGGGTCTGAAAGTAGAAGTTGTAAGAAACACTAAACACATCTTCTTATGTTTTAAAGATGCAAAGCTGTATGACATATAAGAAGTAATGTTTTCAGAATCTGCAGTTGCATGTTTGTAATAAATGGAGAAAAGGTGCTATTTTTATTTCTGACTAAAATTTGGAAAATACAAGTTGTGGTTTTTCTTGTCTGGTGTTGGTGGGTCATGGGTTGGTTTTGGTTTGGGGTTTTTTCTTAGTTTATTTTTTATAAAATTGTGGAGAATCTTATTTAATGATGTTTTCTGACTTCTAAAGCAGATTTAGAAGACAATATCAATGAACACGAATTGGAGCCTTCACCTCCCAAAGGAAAAAGGAGGGGTCGTAAGGGAAAGCCAAGAAAAACAAATTTAAAAGGGCAGTCAGAAGACACTAGATCTACGTCCTCACATGGCACAGATGAAATAGAAAGCAGTTCCTATGTAAGCAGTAAATATGCTAAACTTCTTAGAAGACAGAATTGCATATTTCTTCTCTGAAATATAAGTTTTGTGAAAATTTGCATTTGTCTGAGCCTCCAGCTGGTGGCCACAGGCTTTTAAAATTGCAACCTTATTTGTATCCCAGCAGTATATTTTAGTAAAATGTTTTTCTTTCAGAGAGACAGGTCTCCCCACAGAAGCAGCCCCAGTGATACAAAACCTAAATGTGGATTCTGTCATGCAGGTGAAGAAGAAAATGAAGCTAGAGGAAAGCTTCATATATTTAATGCCAAAAAGGCTGCAGCACACTATAAGTGCATGGTGAGTAACAGTATTGTTGTTAACCAGTCTGTTCTGTGAATTTTGTCTGAATTGCTATTTTGGATTTTAATACAGTACCCTCACATGTAATTATGCTGAGTATTGTCTGGATGTTGATGATCTTAAGCACTGAAGTGTTGCAAAGTGAGCAATTCATTTATTTTCACTGCAGGCAATATGAATAAAAGTTGGCTTCATGCTAAGAGATGGAATTAGCTCAGGGAGATGCTTTAGCTTATTAAAAATGCTCCCTTAGTGTCTAAATGCATATGAAGTTTTTAAAAAGGAAAACAGAAAACAGTTTTAACTAAAAGAATCCTTTCCAAGAATAAAACAACTTTGCAGGCGTTCAGGGACTTCAATCTGAGAAGAATCCATGAACTTTGTTCATTTTCTGACCTGTGGATTCAGGCTGTTTGAGTTAAGTAGAGGTGAGATATGGAAGTTCCAGGAAGCTCCATCTTGCCTTTAGATGATCACATTTGTGGAACTGTCAGCCTGAACGGGATCTCATTGCAAAGAACATGAGCAGACAGTGCCATGAGTGAGGTGGAGCTTTGGGTAACAAAATTCACTGGTTCACATTGTACCTCAAAATGAATAAATAGTCCAGGCAATCTGTGGAGTTACTCATTGACTCTCTGTACCCAGTCTCACTAAACAGAGAGAGAGCTGCTGTGTGCCAGAGTCTTACATTAGCAAAGCTCTTTGTTACTTTGTCTACCTGAACTTCAGTTTTAAGGCAGTTAAAGCTGAATACACCAGGATGATGGTGGAAGGGATGGTATTCTGTTCTCCATTTTCATCCCTCAGGACTTCACAGCTGTATTGATATAAGGGTTGAACCTGAATTACATACATATATGTCACAGGGAAGGAAATGGAATATTCCTAAAACGTTGAGTGTGCAATTGATAATATTTTCCATTTGCTACTTTATCTTTTCATCCTATCATTACTTCTCGTCTACTCCTCTGTCTTTTAAAAGAAATTTCTCCAAGGCAACAACAACTCTAATTAAAGCAGTCAGGTGGGGATCAGAAGGAATGCTTTAATTGCTCAGCATAGGGTTTTTCCTAGTTTGTTGGTAAAGCACATCTTGTCTGAGATCACAAAACAGGATGTTCAGTGCTCAGTTATTCCTGTAAAAAAAAATTCCAAACATCTTGGTTTATTCATCTTGAAGAAGGATGTTCATCCAACATCTTTGGACCTGACATTACTTTGACTTGCTTGTTTTACAGTTGTTTTCTTCTGGCACTGTCCAGCTAACAACAACTTCAAGGGCAGAATTTGGTGATTTTGATATCAAAACTGTACTTCAAGAAATCAAGAGAGGAAAAAGAATGGTATGTACCCACAGAATGTAGTGAATGTGTTAGTGATTCTGCTAAGGTCTGTATAGCTCTCCCTCCTTCCTTTTATGGAGCAATCTTTTCCATCTCTTTCTAAACACAAAATTAAAATATATTGTTACTTGTGGGAAGTGCAGCCAGATAGGAATCACCTTAATATTAGTGGTGTTTGGGCTTGTGGTATTTGGGATTCTTTATGACAATTGTACATAACTGTTATGATCACAGAATCATATGATTCTTATTAGCCATGCTGTAACTATAAGAGAGTAACAGCTTTGGACCTGTGTTACTAAAAACACACTGTGTGGAGCTGCACATAAAATTAGAGAATATGCAGTTCTTGCAGTGAATATATTCTCTAAAATTGGAAACAAACCAGTGTTTCCAACTGTTTTGGTATTTTAGTAGGAAAACATTTTAAGATCTTAGAGATGGGGGTGCTGGTAAAACATCACATTTTATTTTATTAAAACTCAGGATGTTTTTAAAGTGCTAAGAAATTTATAGGGGATCAAGAGAGATAATAAAAAACTAGCAATATTGTTCCTTGAAAAAAATAATTTATATAATTTATATATTAGCATACTAACTTCAGCAGCAATAAAATGGCCTTGGACGTGCAATAACATGTTTTGTAATCACATAGCAATTTTCTGTGCAACAGACAGGTAAATCCTAATGTTCATGTTTTTGTGGGTTGGTATCTTACAGTTTCTGGTTTACCATGTCTTTGATTAACTTTTCATTGGAAGGATGATCTGCCAGGGGAATTACTGTGTTCCAAAGTGTTAGCCATAAATATGACGAACATTAAACTGAGTACTAAGAGACACAAGACTGAGATGCTGAATGTTGCTGTTCTCTTCTTTCCCCTGCACAGAAATGCACACTCTGCAGCCAGCCTGGTGCTACTATTGGGTGTGAAATCAAAGCCTGCATAAAAACATACCATTACCACTGTGGAGTAGAAGACAAAGCTAAATACATTGAGAACATGTCACGAGGAATTTATAAGTAAGGACCTATGTAATTGGTTGAATCTGCTACAAAAGTAAAGATATATCATGACACTTTTTCTGCCTAACTTGGCTAGTCAATATGCTCTTTAAAAAGAGGATATTATTTAGCTTAAAATGGTACATTTAAGTAGTTGTTGACTTTACGAAACATTTCAGTTACTCTGCTAATTTAAAATTTCTGTACTGTTGTAAATAGGAGAAATGAGAAAATTATTTGACTTGTATTATATTTTCCTTCTCCAATAATCTGTAATTTAGATCAAGAAAATTGATGTCATGATTCCTCCATATTGATGTGTTTGTAGCTTCCTTCAGGGGCTTTTTGGACCCCACAACTTTGCATCCTTCCTGAAGAGCTGTGGCTTGGCTGCAGCTGAGCTGCCTGCTGTGCCCACGAGAGGGCATTCGCCGAGCAGGGAGAGAGGCAGGTCTGCCAAACTGGGATTGGCCACAGTTTTGTTGGCTGCTCTTGACCCTTGTTTTCCTTCTCGGTTTAACTGATGCTTGACTGGAAGCTGTGAATGATTTAAGAGTTTGCAACTGACTTGTAGCACATCTCGAAACTAATTGAGAGATAAGTCAGGTTTTGATGGATGTTTTCAGTGTAAATTCTCACTGTTCCTTTTATTGTGCCAGACTCTATTGTAAAAACCATAGTGGAAACGATGAAAGAGATGAAGAGGATGAAGAAAGAGAAAGCAAAAGCCGTGGCAAATCAGGCACTGACCATAATGACATTCCTCAGCAGCAGCTCAATGGAAACTAGGTATGGAAGTTCTCCTGACAGATCTGTTACCAAGACTGAAACGCAATATTCAATTAATGTAGTTTACTGCAGTGAAGTATTTCAATCTAGTGTATGCAGAGTACTTTTTATTGGCATACTGTAGAAGAACGGGGAGGATTTGTTGTTTTTTAAATCCGGCTGACTTTGTAACAGTGTAAGAAGGGAGGCCCTCATTTCTATTGCTAAATGTAGATGTAATGTCAGAGCTGTGAAATGCTTTTCTGTATGATTTTAAATTTACTATTGTTTTCATCATTTTTTAAACAGGTTCAAGGGACAGAGTTATAGAACTGGGAATGGCTAAGACATCATAACTACTAATTCTTTTAAATTGTTTTCTAAAAATCAGAAAAGGGTTAGTAACTTTTTACTACCCAACTCTGTTAGAAATTTCATTGAACTGCCTGAAACGTTCATGTGTGTGAGCCTTCAGTAAGTGGCAGAGTTTTACATGTCAATATTATGTAGTTTGTAGTCTGCAGTGTCTGGAAAAAAATGAAACACTATATAAATGATATGTAATATGTACAGTGTCAAAAGTTAAGGCAGACATTGAAATGAAGTAAGATCTATATTTCTGGACTGAATAAAAACTTTAAGATTTGGAATGTGTAAGTTGTTTAGTGGATTCACACAATGAGGGAAGGTCTTAGCTAGTTTAATTAACAACACGGACAAGTCCTTGATGGCAACGAGCTGGTACTTTGTGAATTTTGCATTTTCTTCCTGCACGAGTTCCGGAGGCCGTTGATGGCAGAGCCGCGCTGGTCTGGCTCGGGCAGCAGCAGTAGGAAAGGACTCTGTGTACACCAAGCACGCTTGAACATTTCAGGTTGTTCCTGTTGTGATTGCTCATTCCGCCCGGCATTGTTTGCGGGAGATTTACTTGAGCAGCTGTTGGTTCTGAGCTGTGAGCTTTAGAACTCATGCCAAAGGGCTGTAGTTCATTCTTTCCCCAAAAACCCACCTCTTTCTGTGTCCTGATTTACAAAGAACACTTCACCAAGTGTGATTAAAACCCTACTATACAAATGTTTGGACTTTGCAGCCCAATCTCTTTTACTTCAGAGAGTTACAACTCTTAACTCACTATGGAATTTAGCCACCATATCTGACGTCCATACCTCAGGTGTTCTCTGTTGTGTGGAACACTTCATGTTTTGTCAAGAATGTGCATAAAGGTCCCATATTCTGTAAGAAGAATGAGGAAGCAACCTTTTTTGCTAGATTGGTATTTATTTTTTAATCATATGACCACTATATGGGAAAGTTCACGTATCATCCTTATTGTTTTAGTGATTTTTTTTTTTTTCCTTTCTCTGTCAAGTCAACAATCACATCATGGAATTCTACTTGCTAGAATTTGATGTTCCTTGAGGGAACGCTCAGATCTAGGCTATACCAAACCTAAAGAACAGTCCTCTGACTGCTTTCAAAACACCTTGTCATTTCTAATGGCTACTGGCTTCTTCAATTGGTCTGTTAAAGCACATCCTCAGACTTACTTAAATAAAACCAAAAAGCTGAATCTAGTCCACATGTTTGTCTGTTGCTACCACATCACCTTATTGTTTGTTTAGGGTTTTGACTTGTTTCACTCTGAACTCCCAACAAAACTTCTGGATTTGAAGGAAAGAAACAAGCAAAAGACACTGATTTGACTATAAACTGCTACAGTTCTTCTGTGATTGGTATTGCAAAAACGGTTCATATGTAACATGAGTTTCTGTAGCATTTTTTACTTGTATTTTTAAAAGATTTAACGTGTGTCATTTGTCTTCTTATGCATTCCCTTAATGTCTTGAGGGACTCAATTACTGTATATTGGAGTTTCTAACATTTTACCTGTTAGAATTCAATCAATTCTGTTTGCTTTCCTGGAGAATAATCCCGTTTGGAAAGAAATATTGCTGTGTACAGAAAATATTCAGTTACTGCTCTAAACATGATGCCATTGCTCATTTTTATTTTGTATTTGTAACTTTCAAAATTAAAAGTGTGACTTGAATTGCAATTGACAGATCGATTATTGAAATTGTCTATCAAGGTGTTTTGTTTCTCCTAGAACATGAACATTTTTCAGCCACTCAGAACAGTTTTAGAATGCAAAATAGCATCCTTCAATATTTAAATTACTTCAGTTTGTGCCTCAGACATGGCCCTCCCATGGAAAAAAGGCACTTTGTTTGCAGCTACTGTATTTAACTAAGTTTGCATGGGGTAGATCTGCCAGCATACTGACTGTACTTGAGACTGAGCTCTAATTCATTGTGTCAGTGGCTTAGTATAATATTCAGTCCAATAACTCACCTGTTATGGATAAATTAACCCATTCCTTGCCTTGAAGAACCAGAACAGCACTTTACCTTCGGGTAGCAAAAAAGCAAGTGGCTGATTTCCCTGTTGCCCCTGAGTGCTGAAATGGCCTGGTGAAACTGTCATCAATTCAGAATTCATGGAAGCAAAGTCAAAAGCAAAAACCTTTTCTTACAAGCCTCAAATTTGTCATAACTGACTTCAACTCATGTATGCTGGGTAAAAGTGCCTTACAATGTAAAAATTGTATTTATATGTTCCCAAGTAGCATCACCTGCTGGGGAGTAATTCTGTCGTGGTGTTAATATTTAGAAGAAATGTACCTCAGCAGTGTATTTACTGTACATCTCTTACGTCCTTAATTGTAGTTTTAAAAAGCATGACAATGTATCATAGTATACAACATTTACATCATTTTTTTAAAAAACAAAATACTGCCATTACTGTCTTTTTATGTGTATTTTAGCTTGGAATTTCAGACAGTCTCTCTGAATTTTTGGGGGTTTGTTTTGGTTTGCAGGTTTGTTTTTTTTTTTTTGGTAAAGCAATGTAATCTTTGCAAGCATATATTGAAGATTATTCTGGAGCATCTACTGCCTTCCCAGAAATGTTAGAAGTAATGAAAGTGCTCTATAGGTGAACTAGGTATGTTTAAATTAGCTAGTTAAATTAATACAGTCAATTTGTTACTGAGATTTTTTTTTTACTAGGCACCTTCTGCTTTCATCTCACAATCGGAGAATTCAACGTCATGAATTCAACAAAACTTGTCTTAAAAAACTGGTTTCACTTTAATTTTTTAAATTTTATTTTATTACTGTTACTTTTTGCCTTTGGGCATTTCTTTTGCTCACAAGAGGATTGTGTGCTGTTTAAGATGCCTGGAACCCTCTGAGAAGGGAGGTTTCTCCCCAGCACCTCTCCATTAAGAGATCTCCCCAACTCACTGTGGTCTCACAGATCTGTGGTTCTGCTGTTCCCAGAAGGACTGTGCCAAGGAAGGACAGGCATCACAAGGATCCTGTTCAGATCTCTTGAGGACACAGCTGGTGCAATGCCAGAGTCCCGAGGTCAATCCCCCAGAGCAGTGGCTGTGCTGTCCAGGGCAGGGGGAAAGGGCTGCTTCAGTGCCAGTGCAGCTCCTGCAGCACGGGCTGCTCCACAGCACGTTCTGTGATAAGGCTCCAGCAGGAGCCACACCTGCACTCCACAAAGTCTCAGCTTCAGGTACAAAGAGCTGTGCTGATCTAGAATGCTTTGAGTCTGCCAAATCTGGCCCTAAAATGTAGTGTAGCAGAAGAGTTTGCCTCTTACTCCTGCCTATAGGAAAAAGAACTTCATGCTAAAACAGAGTGAAAAATGAAGAGGTGATAATCTATTTGAAATATCAGACTTATCTGACAGGTGATAATCAGTGCATTCCAAAAATACTAATACACTGAATCAGATTGACAAGAAAATTAATCCTCATTAGATTAATTTAATCTGAAGAGAACCAAAAGTGCATGATAGCAATTAGTAACTCTTCTTCCATGTCACCAGAGTCAGATCCCACTATATTAGTGATGGAGGTGAAAAAAAACAGAACACAGCCCTTGATTTATGTACTTGGTGAAGCAGCTCCTGTACATGGATATGTATGCACAGCCATTAGTCTGCAGTGACATCTCAGCCCTTAATGAATCCTGGAGAGCTGTTGCTTGTCAAAGCACTCAGGTTAGGCCAACGTTTGCAGCTTTTGCTCTAGCATATATTTACATTAGGTGTAAAGACAAGGAATGTATGGAAGAGGGTAAATGCATTCCTATCTACAATGTTATGTATATTTTGTTCCTGTTATATTGGCTTTACTTCCAAAGTTGTAGTTTGCAGTATTAGTTTCTTTTTATTGGTATCCTTGCATATATATATTCAATAAATGAGTTATGAATTTCATGCTTGCATATCTGTCCTTTTTCCAAAAGTATAACTTCTGAAACTGTCATTTTAATGCATAAGTGCAGTATTTCCTGTTGAGGTTACAGGCCCAGGAAAACACTTCCAGGAGAGAGGTGAGAAGGCATCATGCTTACAGTGTGGCACTTGGTGGTAACTCTGCCTGTCTCTGTTCCTAACTCTGCACTGGGTAAGCTGCTTTGGATTTACCACTGCTTAATGCAAAGTTACTGACTTGCTTGAGGTTCCCTTTCTCACCTTTCAAGAACTTTTTCTTTTTTCCAAGAGTGAATTAATTTAGACTAAGAGACCAAGGGAATGCAGAGTATGTCTTGGTTTCAGCTGGGATAAGGTTCATTTTCTTCTAGTAGCTGGCACAGTGCTGTGTTTTGGATTTGGTGTAAGAATACACTTGATAACACACTGATGGTTTAGTAGTTGCTAAGTAGTGTTTATACTAAGTCAAGGACTTTTCAGCTTCTCGTGGCTAAAGGACACAAGAAGTTGGGAAGGCACAGAGCCAGGAGAGCTGGCCCAGAGGGATATTCCCTACCATATGGTGTCATAAACTGGGGGAAAGCTGGCTGGGGCTGCTGCTTGGAAACTGGCCAAGCATCTGTCAGCACGTGGGAGAGTTGGATTGTGCATCACCTGATTCGTATATTCTAGTTTTTTATCACTATCATCATCATCATGATCACCATTCTTATTTTCATCTTTTTCTGCCCTATTAAACTGTCCTTATCTCAACCCATGTGTTTTCTCCCTTTAACTCTTGCAGTTCTCTCCCCCATCCCGCTGGGAGGAGCAGTGAGTGAGCGGCTGTGTGGGGCTGAGTTACCCCCTGGGTTCCATGGCAGTGCAAGTGAAGCACACTGCAGACATGCAGCTGCATCCAGGATGCACTCTGGAACCACAGAAATGTAGCATAAGAGATTAACAGAGCAAAGGATTGCTTGGAAATCACTGGATTTGTCCAAACATGTAACTGCCTAGAGCAAAACACTGATACCTGTCAGCAATTTTAAAGTATCTACAAATGTGCTGGGAAAACTCCATAGAAGAAAGGGCACTATTGCTGTATTGATGAAGACTTCATTATTATGTCATCACCTTAAGCAAGGAGTTGATTTAATGAGCATGGTAGGTAATTACTGGGACCTGAAAACAAGTATATCCTTTCTGCACAGAAAAAAATTGTTGAGCAATATGTTCAATTAAGAGTTGCCAAATGATCAGGTCTTATTGATAAAGTCATAGAATCATAGAATATCCTGGGTTGGACAGGACCTACAAGGATCATTGAGTCCAGCTCCTGGCCCTGCACAGGACAACCCCAGAGTGGAATTATTGATGCTGTGATCCACAGCCATCTTTGCAAAGGTTTCTTAAAAAGGCTATTCAAGACTTCTGTTACCAAAGTTGATGTTTGGAATAGTTTCATCACATGGCTTCTGATGCCATGGAAATTATTACTGGATGCATATTTACTTTATTTGCTGGAATTTTTTTGTGGTTTAATTGAATCACCTGAGGGAAGTGTAGGATATTGTGGAATAACATTCTCTGTTTCATGGATGTGATTTCTCACTGGTATGGCTGGACACTTCTAGCAGTGGAGGGGGTGGAGGGGCATAGGCACAGGAGGAAAAGACTTTCATTGTCCCTGTGTTGTGTTAGAGCAGAGCAGTGAATGCTGTGAGGGCTCTCAGGTCCTCACTTGGACAAGCTCTGCCTACTCTGTCCTGTGTAAGGGATTGCAGCACAAGTACAACAACTGTAGGTGTCCTTGTGCCTAAGTGAGACACCCCATATGGTAAATTACTTCCCAGCATTAGAGACAAAGGGGTTGCTGTAAACTCTGAAGGCTCAGCTTGTCTCTGCTTCCTTCTGCCTGCTCAGAACTCAGGGTCAATAGTTTAAACTGGAAAATTAATGGAAAAGGGAAGCTTATCAGTGAGTGTCTAAAAGAAAGGTCAAATTTTGTTAATCTGCACCAAGTTAACAAGCTCCTTGAGCAGAGGAGAAGCAGTGAGCACAGCTTTATTTTAACTGACTCTAATGACTTTATGTAAGATAGCAGGGAAATGTAGTCTGACACCAATTTAAAAAGTGAGGTGATAAAAATTGTTTGCAAAACCTTATCAGAGTAATTATTAAAAATTCACACTGCAGGGATGTATTGAGGGGGATTCTCTGCAGCTCTTCTCTGATTTGAGATTACTTGGTATTTTCATTAACAACTTGGATGGCATATGCTGATTAAATTGTAGCGAGCAGCAGACTTGAGCTAACTACTGACTGAGCAGAAGACAAATACAACTGAAAGTCAACTTGACAAATTCAGAAGAGTTAGCATGTGATGCAGTAAGTCCAGCAATGGATTTGACAAATGTGTGTTTGTAGACTTCAGCAGAAGCTGCAATCAGCTGAACAAATACAGGATGGGACAGGACAGGCTGCTACGATAGCAGTTGCACAGAAGAGTTTTCCTGGGGTTACAGCCAGTCACCAGCTGAACATGATTCAACAGCATCCTGTTCCTGAAAAAAACCCCAGTGTTGTTATGGAATGTATGAACAGAATGTAATCTGTGGCATACATGGCGTGGTCCCTCTTCCTCATGCCCTAGCAGAAAGCCTTTCTCAGAGCATGGTATCGAGCTGTGGGCACTGCACTTCCTGCAAAACAGGGATCAGCTGGAGATGGCTGGAGAAAAGCAGTGAGAGGGGTGACAGGATGGATGACTGGGCTGGTTTCAAG